TCGGACCGTGGACGCGGTACATTCCCAAACGTTTCGCCGGCATCGTATTCGGCATCGTCAGTGAGTCTCGTTATTCGTAGCACCATATTACAACTCGTCAAATGGACAAGTGAAGCCCATCCTTAGACAAAACGTGTGCTACACAGTTATGGTATCTCACCTTCTGCCCTGGCCTATTCACATTTCCTATATCCTTCTATCATGCCTTCCCTTTCACAGTTTTTAACCATGCTTATTCCTCATGTAGTGTCGTGTGCCCCTTCGAGCGGAATTCATGAAAACCATTCACACTCAACACTGTCGCTATCACCCCCTTCGCCCTTGTGATGGGAATGTTGACCAGAGTCTGTCATATTGTTACGTAGTCCTTACCTGGGTCCTATCAAAGTCTCCCTCTTGCCTCTTCGAATCCGTATGCTATCTCCCTGGTACATGTATTTCACTCGAGCCCTGCCCCCACATCTGTGCTATTCGAGGCGTAATTCGTCCATCACTTGCACCTGGGTGACTAATTCGGGTATCAAGCATCAGAGTAAGTCTAATGGTCACGCCTTTGCCACATGGACCATGTCTCTTATAAAACCTACTGTCAAGCCAACTAGCTCCAATCGCAGCCTCGTCTATCCTGTCTCTATTCCTAAAGAACCATCAAAATTTGTCCGGGTTGGTTTGGTCTTGCTCCGTCCTATTATCCCATAGCTAAGCGATTTCTTGTCATACCTCTGAAAATCTTCCAAAGTTAGAACCATAACTATATACTTACTTAATCTAGAATTGATATATATGAACTTAAATAGCTTACGCCTTTCAGTCCCGTAACTTTCCTCTAATTTCTCGATGGAGGCGTAATAAAGTATTTCATTAACTGCTTCCGAATGATACTTCTTCATTAAATTGCAGAATCGGAGAGAAATACCATAATGTTAGCAACAATTCAAAAAGGCCAAATGGCAAGATTGACTTACAATTGTCTTCTTTGTTCGGCCGTAGATATAGATAAAAATAGAGCAAGTATTGCGTGCAAATTTCAACAAATGCAGATAGACACATACAAACTAAAATATAAGTAGAGTAATGAGAATGAAATAGAGCTAATCAAATAGTTATTTTGGTATATGTCTATCTATCTATTTATATGTACATATATTCATTGTTAGTTAAGCGTATATGTTGTATGTAGGATAAAGCTGGATAGTCTTGTTGTCTTGATGTTAACTTGAAGGTTTTGTAAGTATGAGTTCCAGCTCTGACATTGCATATTTTATGATGGGAACAATTTGAACCCATCTATCTTAACGTGCAAGTGCTAAACGATTGCAAAAAAGTAGGGATTCGTCTTCACATCAGATCGACTAGGTGGAAAATAAAGTCTACTTTTGCCTGTATGAGAATGACTTTTGGGAAGCAAGGCTAGGTGGATTTGAAAGGAAATGCAAGTTCTACTCATATCATTATGGAAAATTTCAACTACCAGTCCTTCTTCACTTTAAACGAACTAGGATGAACACACCTCATATATCCGTCTCTATCCTACATGATACATGCACTCAAAATTGAAACAGAAGCTATATAGATATAGATAAAAATAGAGCAAATATTGCGTGCAAATCTCAACAAATGCAGATAGACACATAGGAACTAAAATATAAGTAGAGTAATGAGCATTTATGTACGATCTTACCCAACATATCCATTTTTTGCTATACCTTGCTATCATGATGAGCGAATTTTCTTTTACTTTTAATGCGATAATTGATGAAAAACTGACTATGGCAAGTAAGAATAAATAGATTTCACAAATGATGTATTTACTTAAGTTACTTTGAAGTTACAAGGTTAGCTTTGTCTACCACCTCGCATCAGAAAATTTAGACTAGTTTTAAGGCTTTACGTTTACGAAATTAAACTGGGGTGGAAGGGAAAAGAAAGCGTTAATCAATACTTCTTAGCTTTTCTGAGTGATTTCGCTCACAGCAAACGAAAATATATATGTATACATAATAAAAAATATTATTGATGAAGCTGGGGCTTTAAACAAGATCGAGGTATGCTCAAACTATGAAATGAGATTATAATCTTAAATATGTTTGAGAATTAGAAATGAGATAAGGTGTGATATTAATAAATTGGAAGGGACTTTATGAAAAATGTTCATCGGCCTTGATTGACAAAGATGGTCATTGGTGCTTGTATGGCATTTTCTGTTCGACCAAATAATATACAGAAGATCAAACGTGAAATGATGGAACTCTAAACAAGTCACTGGAATACGGCAAATTTCATTAAACCAGAATCATAAAAGGCTAATACAGTTTAAATTTATTGCTTAAATATTGTTGGCTCTCAAAATGTTTAAATCTGAGTATCATTTGTTGATTAAGATTTCCTTCAAGTTACACTTAAGAGGAAATTAACGATTTGCTTAAGCACATCTTGAGGTGGTTGATTATACTAAATTCCATATATAACATTTAGCTACCTCTGATGTGTAATAGGTACACAAGATTCTGTATGATTTTATCCTCCATACAATATATTAATCACTGAATTTATTTATTTATATTTTTGTGAATTTCCTAGCCTAATTTATAACTTTTAAATAGCTATATGGCATACGGGAATATTTTAAAATGCTAATATAATTTTATATTTATTGAAATATATTTGTGGATGTAGGCATTCAAAGTGTCAGTGTGGTAATAAGCTATAAAACAATGGCACGTATAGGAAACAGAGCCTAATATATTTACGGAAGTTTAAAAATCAGCAATGTAAAATAAAGTCCATTTTTTGAATACATTTTATAAATTCAAATTCCAAAATACTTAATATGATACGCCTGGATCCATCCGAACCAAAATATTGATAAAACAGGCAAATCTACATGATATATAATCATATTTTAATAAATGTATTCATTTTTAATTAGATTAATATGTCTCTACGGCAAAAAACCTAAAAACAATATCATATAACAGATTTATTTCCCAATAAGTCTAAATATTCTTGCACAAATGCTTTATCATCTTTGCAGTATTTAATTTCAAAATGTTTTGTTGAGATGCAAAAAATTATAAATTAAAAGCAGAAAAAATAAGATTATATTAATTTATTTTGATATATTGTGCAAAAATTGCAATGAATTAAATTTTACGGTTTCTTGTTTGAAAGACTTCGTTTGTTGCGGTCATTCGCCGTACGCTTTGAAGGTATCTACTACTTTCCTATGTTTACTTTTTGCCTAGTCATATGTGCCCATATCCCTTTTTCGCATTTTATTATATCAACAATTTAAATTTTTATCATTCCGGATTTATTATGCCGGCACTTAACGCTGTCCTTTTTTCGCAGTCGTATTCCGCCATGATTGTTACGTCAGATGCTGATTCCCAACATTTCCTTCCTATTGCAGGTTAATGGAAGAGGATAACCAGTCTCATAATATTCCTTTGCTCTGTAGAAAGGGTTGTGGTTTCTTCGGAAGTCCAAATTTTGATGGACTTTGCTCAAAGTGTCATCGCGATATGCAGGCCCAGGCTGTGCAAGCTCAACAGAGTTCTAGAATAGGTTCCAGTCATCAGCCCAGAATAGATATATCAAATAAAATTCAGAAGTCTACTGAATTATGTGAGTTGCCTGACGCTGTCCGAAACGAACTTTATCTGTTTTTCTATCGCTATAAGTTGCATTAAGTATTTTGTGATCCTTACCTCATTATTTATTTATAGCTCCCTGCTCTCCTGTAACTAAACATAATTCCACTTTTTTTTCTCAAATACAAACAAAGATGCAGACCCTCTTAAAGTATCTCTGGATGGAGCTGTTCGCTCGCAATCAGATGGGCAGCAATTAAATGATGATAACTCAACTTTAGATAAAATTCGCAAGTCTATGCCAGATACAAGTGATACTAGGGTATCCAAATCTCATTCTTGTGCAGATTCTTCCAACAGAGAGCTAAATTCTAACGCATCTGATACAGAGGCTGATGCCGAGGTTAAGGCCATCACAATAAGCAGCAGCTCAGAAACCGGTTTGTCAACATGCAAATCTGGTTCCGTTGTCGAACATGTTAGTGAAGCTGCACAAGGAGCACTAGCCAGTCCAGGCGATGGTTCGAGTAAACCGGGTTCTCCGGGTAAGTCTTTAAATCATTTAACTTAATTATACCTTCATTCCTTACCTGGTTACCTGCTAATAATTTAAATCATTTTTAGCCTCGGCTAATAGTGCATCTACTAAAAAGCGCCCTCGTTGTGATGTCTGTCATAAACGGGTTGGGCTTACAGGTAGGTGCAGTTTAATTATTTTCCCATTTT